TATTTTTTTTTTATTTTGTAATTAATATTTTTTTTTTCATTATATTTTTTTTTTTTTTTTTTTTTTTTTTTTTTTTTTTTTTTTGTTTTTTGTTTTTTTGTGGCAATAAATTATTAGGGAAACCCATATATAGCATACGAGCTGTCTATGTGCTATGAATTTTTTTTCCTATTCTATAATCAGCAAAGTTAATTAGTTACTAGAGATAGACTAGGACTAAGTGGTTAGGGTTTGATCAGTGATGTGTATAGGTCTAGTGGGAGGTTTCGAATTATTTTGCTAATGAAGATATTGTTGACGAGTCATGGGTTGCTGTTTCTGTCTCGGTGCTCCATATTGGCTTGGTTTAGTCTGGAAATTTTCTAGTTGAGCCAAGGAACTTCAAAGTAGTCAGTGATTCCCTTTGGTTGAGGGGAGTAGCTGAGCATTGGAGATAGTTCTTAGCGCTTTGCTTTGAAATTTCTCTATGATATTTCAGTTGGAATCGCTGTTAGTACCCCAGATCCAGAGGACTCCACGTGGTCTATTAGATTACTAGCTTTGTCCCACTGTCTCAGTGTAGATCCACAGATATTTCTTCAATCTTATATTGAGCTATTCACTTTTGTTAATTAGATGGGTGAAATTGTCTAAAATATCATGTAGATGGATAATACATAGAATACCAAAAATAAAATACCTTTTAATCTTTTTTACTATATGCCAACTTCTGTTGCTGTTGCCCCTTATGTTGGTCAGCCCCCTTAACGAATTTTTGCTCCTCATTCTCCACTTTAAATATATTTTAAATATATTTCATAAAAACTCTACGCCCCGGTTGTTGTTGTCACGTTTGTGCATCGATTGCGCAAGTCTCTCAAAAAAAAAAAAAAAATTCGTAATTTATATTGTTTTTGCTTTGGCTCTTTTTTTTCTGGGTTAACATGTAAAATCGGGACCTGTCAATTACACAACACCCGAAAACCAAAAACGCGGAGCACCGCAAAAGTCAACACAGACAAAAAATTAAATTAATTTCGTATGCCCAAGAGAAAAACAACAATTAAACAACAGCAACAACAACAACAACAGAGGCAGACGCAGCTCCTTTGGCAATTTGCTTAAATTACAACTTAATTTCTGAATTGATTTTCAATTTTTTGCCGGCATTCGACGCCCAAATAAAAAAAAAAATATTTCGTGCATTTTAATTTGCTGTACAATTATTTTAAGCGCTGTCGCTGTGGGGGTCAGCCAAAAAGCAGCGCGCCAGCACGACCGCAGGATACCCTATACAAGGAATTTAATGGCGTGAAATGGGCTTGGGTGGGAGTCATGTTGAGCTTCATGATATTTGGTATATGTCAGGATCAGAAGAAATGCTTGAGGAGCGCATTTCAAGAGAGATTCCTCTAGGGTCTTACGAATATTGACATACTTGGTGAGCTCCAGACAGAAAACACTTAGAAATAAATGATGTTTAGACAATTTTATCAACTAGGTATAACACACAAAACTCGTTTTGCATACGCTGAGGCCAATTCCTATTTGAATCTACCAACCCATCCATAACAAATAAGAGAGAACTCTTGACAGTTTGAAGAACTGAAGCTCCCATAATTCTTCGCTACTTGTATGGCTATGTTATGGACATTCATTTCTTGAAGAGCTGATGCTCCCATAATTCTTCGCTACTTTTATGGCTATGTTATGGACATTCATTTGTTGTAGAGCCCATTTTTAAGGGGTTCAGGGCACTACTAGTGCAACAGTTCTTCAACATAACTCATAACGTCAACTATTTCCAATTCATCGAATTTCTCCACTAACCGATGAAACAGCTTACAGATCCAGCTCAATCCAATATGAGCTGAAGAATATGAGAATATGAGCTGGGAAGAATACAAGGAGTTTATGGATGATTCCATGTATTCTTCCCAGAAATGTCTAGTCCTAGGTAGTGTTGGGTAGTGTTCAGTTCTATAGATATAAGGAGTATAAATACAGTAGAATCCGGTTATAAAGACGCTAAAGGGGTCTTTATAGCCGGAAAACGCTATAAACATTTAAGGCTGTTCTTAAAGTTGTTATAATTGGATTCTACTGTATATCCATATATCTACTCACATAGTTTCATACATATATCCTCTTTGACTCAGGTCTTGAGATTCCTATGAAGCTAAGCCTTTAGATTCGACTGCTTCAGCTATTTAACTTGCAGTTTTTTTAGTCATTAGGGTTCGACGTGTTTATTTTTGTTCCCCCTGGTGTTTTACTTCAGCTTCTAGGGCGTTAAATTTAGGGCAGTTAATCGCTTACTTGGTTGCGCTTTCAATTTGCCTGCCGACTGCCGCACGGAGCTGCCCCATTGTTTGCAACAGCATGCAACACGCCCAATTAAACACACACACACACAGAGAGAAAGAGAGGGCGAGAGAGAGTGAGAGAGAGAGAGAAAAAGGTAGAGCCAGTTCGTCTGGCTGTTTATTGATTTCTGTAGCACACGCTCCATCGTCACCAATTAAAATTCAAGTGCTCAAGCCTAATTGCATGCCAAAAGTTAAAGCAAGCGCAAAAATTTAGCTGCCAACTGAAAAGGCGCTGACTGCCTCACAGATTCCATTGATGGAATCCGCCCTACGAACTACGAGAGTGCCATAGTTGAAGCTTGATTTAACTCAAAATGTACGCTAAAAACGTACTTGCATTCCCAATTTCAGTGAGTTTACCTCAAACAGATCCTGAGATACTCTGGGTTTCTTGGAGTAAATGTAAACGCATATGTTAGATATAGCAGTAAATATTTTATATAGGTTTTTAATTATTAAGTATATATCCAAAATAAGGCCTTTACTACTCAAAATCCTTATAGCTTAAGTAAAAGGAAACCCCTATACCAAAATTCAGCAACTAAACTAAGCAAGATCCGTAGATAGACTATAATATATCTATGGACTTGGCATAATCACATCTCTTATAGGGAATAAAAGTATCTATGCATACTACTTAGCATAACTCTCTACATATGCCCAATATTGAATATGCCCCAATCCCTGTAGATCCTGAGCTCTGATCCATCCAAGCTTTCTTTGTTTATCTCTAAATATTTGTCGAAATCCTTGTCCCCTATCACTTGACATCTGTGAACTGTGTTTCGGGCATTCTGCTGCGCTTGGTTGATTTATGCAAATTATGCTCATTATGAATACAGAATTTCGGATAGCGATGATACGTGTTGGCTGCTTAGTTGTTGTTGAACATCAATAAATGCGAGAGGTACACCTATATATATATTTTCTTTTAGAGAGCCATCAAAGGGGGCCGGTCCAGACATTGATCTCAGGTGTCAGGCATTCATGCTATGCGCCCATCAAATCGGCAAAAACCCGTTCTGGCCAGGGACCAGATCCAAGCCCTGCATTCCCTTGGCCGGGGCGTGTCCCCGGCTGTGCGTAAACTAGATGAGGCCATAAAAATGTTCGCAGCAGCAGCAGCAGCAGCACAAAAGGCAAAAATTAAAATACAAAAATATAAACAGATCGCGAGCATTGACAAACATCAGGAGATAAACCAAGAACTGCAAAAATATATACATATATATTTTTATATATGAGTGAAAAAAAAAATGAAGTAAACGCAGACTATGAAAAGAGGCAAATCAGGTGGATGTCCTTGTCCGCAATGGCACAGTGGGCTGAAAGCGACAAATAAAGCAATGAAATATGCACTGGCAGAAGTGGAGCCAAGTCAAGATATCGATATGGAAATATTTAGATAGAGAATAGCTACTAGAAACTGTTATAATATACAATATTCCCAACTAAACTTTCAACCAAAAGCCATAATAATCGAGCTTAAATATCTGTATATATATATACATATATCTATTTCATTATATATACTTGCATACTATATCTTGATAGGTATATATATAGATAAAATATCAAATCCCTATCCCCATGAATCCCATACCCATGAAAATATAGTAGATAAAGTTTAATACCTATATCCATACATACATATATATCTATAAAGATATAGTATGTGGATATATATTATATATACTACTACTATATATTGAAATACATATATATTAATGAATATATAAACATTGTCTTGGGCGAAAGTTGAGTCGGTATGGTCGGTATATCTATTGAGTCGCTATCAGTAGAGGTATAAGACCTCAAGTTTAAGCTGCCTTTTTGCTTCGTATACTCTATATTAACACATTTAGATTTTATGTAAAGCAAAGTCGATATATCGCATAAGCTAACTGATTTGATAAGAAGTTTACCGAATTTAGTTAATAAATCATGGCAAAAACTCCTCTATATGTGATTTGTAGTAGCTGAACTTAGATAAAAGAACTCGAAAAGAAATTTTTTAGTTTTTAATTTGTAAAACTTTGAGAACAGAACTTGATCAAATAATTTCCATGAATGGATGAAATAATATATTTTATTTATTTATTAACAAGATAAAGCTAATGCAAAATGAAAGCTAACTTAAGTTTGGGCTTCAGGGAGTAATATATATCTCATTATTAGATTTCAGTTATATAAAGTTACAGTATTTGCCGTAACTTTTCCGGTATATAGCCCACTGTGCGGTAAACCCGTTTGTGGCAGCGAATGCCAACGAATTTATGCGCCGTCTGTTAACTGTCTCCTGTGTTGCCTTGCAGATGCGCCTCCGCTCGACTGGACCCAGTGCCAAGATGTACACAATTCTAGTTGGACTGGTGAGTATGCCAAATAGTCCTGGCCAAAGTCAGACAGAGAGAGAGAGAGAGAGAGAGAGAGAGAGAGAGAGAGAGAGAGAGAGAGAGAGAGGCAAACAGTTGTAAATGCAAAACAATTGACAGGCGACGCTGTTGCCCGCGGTGCTGGGACATGGAAGGTTAATGGATCCACCGGCACGGAATGCAATGTGGCGCTTCGGCTATCCCAATCCGGTTAACTACAATGACAACGAGCTCTTCTGCGGCGGCTATGCGGTGCAGTGGGAGCAGAACAGCGGACGCTGCGGCGTCTGCGGCGATGCGTACCATGTGAAGTCGCCGCGACCGCACGAGGCGGGTGGGGAGTACGCCAAGGGCATTATCTCCCGCTACTATACGGCTGGCCAGGAGATCGACGTGGAGGTGGAGCTGACGGCCAATCACTATGGCCGCTTCGAGATGTATCTCTGTCCCAACAACAATCCGCGACAGGAGGCCACGCAGGAGTGCTTCGACCGGTATCCGCTGTTCATTTCGGGCAGTCGGGAGCACCGTTTCCTCATACCGCGCGACACCAAGAAGAAGGACATCTTCCGCTATCGCGTCCGGCTGCCGCCGTACGTCACCTGCACCCAGTGCGTCCTGCAATGGACCTACTACACGGCCAACATGTGGGGCACCTGCTCCAATGGCACCGAGGCCGTTGGCTGTGGCAAGGCGGGTGAGTTCTCCATTCTTCCATTCTTCCCCATCGGCGACTCATCCTTCTGGCATTTGCAGAAACATTCCGTAACTGTGCGGACATCGCCATCATCTCGAATACCGGCGGCGGCGTACCGCCCATCTTTGTCAACAATAGGTCGCCCTACCTGCTGTACTACCGGGACTACCGGGCACCCGACGATAACAATGTGTTCCCCTTGATTGTGCGGTAAGTGTGCCGATGGTAACCGATGTCTTGAATGTCACATAACCGATTCATAACCGGTTTAATGTTTATTTATACATAACCGACGCACTACCGGCTGAATATGTTTTGTACATAACCGGTTCACTAAAAATAGGGGTGTACCGTACTGGGTGAAAATATGTCTGTACGTAACCGGTTCATTACCGATTGAAAATCTGTTTGTACATAACCGGTTCATTAACCGCTAAATGTATATTTGTACATAACCGGTTCATTTCCGCTTAAAAATCGAGTTGTATGTATCCAATTCATTACCGGTTGAAAATATATTCTTACATCGTTTCAACTATATGTATCTATATCTATAGATTTTTAGCCAATTGAAAATATTTGAATAACCGATTCAGAACCGTAGTATCCATAATCGAAGTAAGTTTGTAATTATACTACTAACGCTAGTCGATTCGAATCATAACCGATTCAAAATATAGCGACTTGTGGCATTTGATCAATTTACAATCAAAAATCTACTCAAGCCGCCATTTAAATTCCTGGGTGGATTACAGTATAGCCTTCCGATATTTGCAATCGATTGATAACGATTAAGAAATTCACAGCTAGCTTTTGCAAACAGTCCATTAACAATTAATAACCGATTCGTATGGGACAACCCGGTTCATACCAGTCCTGCAAGCCATGGTAAATTGACACTGATATACCCAACGGCATAGGCTATGAAATCATTTGCCTCCTAATTTTATTTTTAATTATATATTTAGAAAATAATCTTTGCTATAATTTTATTCTTTCACTTACTTAACCGATTCGCTTTTGCTTTATTTTTCACTATCTTCGCTTTTAATTTAACCTTGTCTTTCTATTCTGCACTTCGTTAAGCAAATATTCTTTTGAATATATATAGCTATCTACTCCTCTCTATATATAATAGCTATCTACTCTACAGAGTCTCTTTAACCGTTTCAGTTAGATTACAAATCTTCACTCCCTGCTTTCTATAATCTTTTATTGCTTTTACCAACGCCAACTCTTCAAGGCCTATGCAGTCTCTATCATAACCGTTTCCGCTTCCTTAACCGCTATCAAATTCAAGTTTTTACACTATTCCCGATTGGATATAAACACATTTCTAACTTTTGCTTTGCATTTCCATTTAGCAATGCCACGCGGCATGCGCGCAAACGCAAACCACCAACCGCTTAACCGCTTACCCGCTAAATAAACACAAATAAATATAGACACAACAGTATAAAAAAAAATACCGCTAAAATCCGCTTACCCGACACAAAACCAAGTTTTCCTAGCTAAAGCAGCGCTGCACCAGGTCTACACGAAACGGGTAAAGGTCAACTGTAAATTATAGAGCTAAGATGCAAATACCGGTTATGGTGCCACAACACACGCTCAACACACACACACGCACACGCACAACATGCCCACAACACACACACACACACACATACACATGCATAACTATACTTTAGCTGTATATAAAGAAAATGCTTGAAATAAACTTATTTTTCTCAAATTTATATAACTCGTTTTATACAATTGTTTTTTGCTTGTCCAAGTGGAAACGGTTAACCGTTTTGAGTTGTTAAATCTTTCAGCAGGTATTCGATTAAATCAATATATTTATTATATATACTGCTTTTGTTGTAAAGACTGAAACGCTAACGGTTTACCGCTGCATCAAATGACATAGCCTTATTTTTAAGTCGAAACGGTTATGGGCCAAAAGCCGTAATGCTGTAAATGGAATAGAAGAATGGATTAAAGTTATATGAAAAAAAATAAAAAATGAATGTCAAATGTTGATAAAACATTGACTAGAGTCGAGCTAGCTAGGGCTTAGCACCTTTAGCCTTTTAGCCTTTTTTGATTATAGTAAGAATCAGAGTCGTTTCGATTAATCCAAGGGTAGTCCGATATTTAATTGTAAAATTGTATTGCTAAAATAGCTATATATATTTGACTTTAAATTGAAATCACAAAAATCATAGCTAAAAAAAAATCAGCTAACATTTAAGCAGCTGAAAATTGAATGCAAATTCTAGCTAGATATCCTAAATTTCTTGCTCAAAGAACCTTTGTATATACATTCTTTTTACATAGGTATATTTTGTAGTTTTTTCCCTTTTTTAACAGACTAAAGTGCTCTCAGATATTCTGCCAAATATGCTATTTAAAGCTAACTTTCAAGCTAAGTAACAAAAATTGTAGCTAAAACAAACCGGTTAGGACTTAAGATGCAATATATAGCTAGCTAGATTTTCCTATAATTTGCCAAAGCACCAATGAAAGTTTTTATGTATATTTTTCATTGACTTTTATTTTAGCCTTTTTAAGCTTTTTTTTGGCTATAATCTTCGAATCGTTTCGCTTCGTTTCGAAATCATAAAGCCAAATTTTCTTATGAATATACACATTAAATTTTATTAACATTCGAGCCTTGATCCTTAACCCTTTACCCCAGGCCTTGGCCGGCCTTTGTACAGTAAAATGAAGGCACAACAAATATGGAAAGCAAATTGAGAAAACCAGAAAATAAATATATACATATATATATATAATATATACATATATATAGATATTTGATGTCTATATATAGATAGATATGTATATATATATATATGAGCTCGCGCGTGTCGTGGGGGTGGCCGGGGTAGTTGTAATGCGACCCCAAAATCAAATTCGGAATCCGTTAAAGCCAAATGCCGCTCGCAATTCGTTCGGGAACCCATTGCCCTGCATCCCCTGAAGGTTCCCATGGCGGCGCACCCCTTTGTCGTTGTTTTTGGCAATAAAGTCAAAAGAATAAAGAAAATAAAATTCGTGGTTAAAACGAGCTAAGGCCGCCCGCACTCCGCCCGGACACCGTACGGCGTACGGCTGGCTGCGATTCAGCAGCGTACATCCGGATAGGTGAAGGCCATGATGAGCACCAAGAAGACGGCCACCTGAACGATGCCCACCAGGACGGTCTTGAGCAGCTGCGTCTGGATGCGTGGCTCCAGCTCATGGCCGGGCGTCTTCAGAGGCGTCACCCGACGATGAGAGGCGCGTTTACGGATCTTCGACGGCGACGGGCTAATCTCCTTGGGCATTTGTTGCTCGACGGGAGCCGGCTGCTCATCCTTGTCTGGTAGTGCAACTGGAACTTCAATAGCATCAGCAGCAAGTGGAGTGGCGGCAGCTTGAGCAGCACTACCAACAGCACTCTCAGCACCCTTTGCATCTTCTGTTGCTGCAGCTGCGGCTGCTTCCTCACTAGTTGAGGTCAGTATGCGCTTCATGTCCTCAGTCGACCACGCCTTGTTCTTGCTTGAGCGCACCGAGAGGCGATTGTAGGGCGGCATCTTGAACGGTAGCTGGCTGCCCAGCGGAATCTGCTGGGTGCAGGCACCGCCGCCCGTCTCCCTCGCCGATGTGGGGGCTGGCGTGTGCCCGGAACGGACCATGTGCTGGAGCTCCCCATAGCCAAGGATGCTGTTGAAGAACATGGCGTCCTGTTCGAGCAAGTTGAAGGGACGCGTCGGCGACAGTGGACGCAGCTGCTGGAGCAGCACATTCGGATTCTCGCGCAGCATGCGGAACGAGGTGCGCTGCAGTCCGCCGCCCTCGGCCAGCGGCATGTAGAAGCACTGCAGCTCGTCGGCGGTCTTCAGCTCCGTCAGGGTCTTCGTCTCGATGCGGTACTCACGGGCGTACCCAAAGCTGCGCGCACGGCAGGCGATCCTGGCCCGCTGCCAGGCCACCGCCAGCTGCTCGAGACGACGCCAGGCCAGCTGAACGATGGGCAGCGGCTCGCGGCCGGCCAGCGTGAGCGTGGAGCGTGGCGTGTAGAACAGCATCGAGTCGCTGTCGACGGTCCTGAAGCTGAGGCCGCTGCCCCTGGCGCTGAATTGATTGTTGGCGCGCAGCGTCGCCTCCAGCTTCTCGCCCAGCTGCTGCAGCAGCTTGATCTCGCGCTGCAGTGTCGGTATATTCTGCCAGACCATTTCGATATCAATTTTGGGCTTCAGTTGCTTCCGCTGCTGCTTATTCTCCTGCTCCTTCTGCTCCTGCTCGTCCTGTTCGACCACGTCCGTTTGCAGTGCCCGCTCGGCGAGGTGGAGCAGATGCTGCTGACGGTGGCGCACATCGTTCAAATGTGTCTGTAGCTCCAGCTCCTGCTCATTCTCATGCTCGCCGTCCATGTCCAGGTCAGGGTCCAGGTCCTGGCATCTGGTGCTGCTGCCATAGCTAAACGGATCGCTGTCCATCTCGATCAAGTTATCGTTAGGAAAGTCGCCCTCCTCCTGCTGCTCCTGCTGCGGCTGCTCCTGATCGACGCTGTCTATATTGTCGCCGCTGTTGCGCAACGGATGCACCATGAACAGCTCCTTCACCTGCTTCACGGGCTTGCACAGATAGACGAAGCTCTGGTTCTGCTCCTGTGGCAGCTGCGATACCTTCAGCTTGCCCAGCTCGTTGCTGCTGTTGTTCAAGCTGCTGCTGCTGCTGCTGCTGCCGCTGCCACTGCCGCTGCTGGCGCTGTTGGCGCTGTTGGCGCTGCTGTTGCTACTGCGGCTGCTGCTGCTGCTGTCGCCCATCACCAGCGGCTGTGCCTTTCGCTGCGGCTGCGGTGTCAACAGTGACGTAGGGTCTACCACCTGATCCAGCTCCTGGTCCTGGTCCTGGTCCTGGTCTAACTCGAATTCCAGCTCCAGCTCCCGCTCCAGCTTCCTCTGCAGCTCCAGCTCCAGCTGCTTCTGCTGCTGCAGCTGTTTCTGCTGTTGCTTCTGCTGCTGCTGTTGCTGCTGTGTCTGTTGCTGCTTTGGCTGCGTTGCTGTCTTCTTCTTGATGGGCGACCTGCTGCGCCCAAATGCCACTCGGTTGCTCCCGATGATGGTAGTGACGGTAGTGGCTGCGGTGACGGTGTTGTGAATGCTTGAAATATTGCTGAAGTTGTTGTTATTGTTGTTGTTGGTGGTGGCGAGCTTGGCCACGCGCGGCAGGAATTGTCCACGTCCGGGAGCTGCACGTCGAATGGCATTCGGCTCGATAGCAACAGTTGTTGTATTGCCCAAGGGTCGATTGACAGTACTTAGATTGGTCAGGCGCTTGGTACGGTTTCCAGTAGTAGCTGCGAGGGAAAGTATTAGATGTGGATAGTTAGATGATGAGGTATTGGAATATTCCGTGGAAGTAGGGACAGTACTCAAGAAGTAGGAGATATTCGAAGCCCTGTTTCAGTAATATCAGACTTCTTATGGATCACTCACACATATGAGATCTACACTATGGAATATTAGCTACTGAAGTAGCTTTGTTCTAGATGTACCAAGTACCTGGTACCAAGATGTACCAAGCTAATCTGTGCATTTGCCAAAGTCCTGTAAGATCTGTAGTTTTCAAGAATGTAGAAAGTTTCCAAAATAAGAAGTATTCACTATCTGCATACAAATCACCAGCATTTGCATAGCAAATTTCGACTCTTACTACCATGATTACGAGCTGTTACGGTATACGGAACCGGGACTAGTCGAAAAAGAGAATTTTGCACACGGTACGGCATACATTATTTCATATTTAAGCTCTACAGCACGAAGAAAGGCTAAGAAGGGAAGAAGAAACATTGGTAGATCACCTAAGCCCATCATTATACAAGGTCTGCCATATTTTCTGCCTTAATAGTTAGAGATGTAAGGTCCGCTTTTACAGTTTATTCCAAACCTGACACAGACACTGATAGACAGACCCTAAGGAAACCTATTGAAACGCTAAGAACGGCTTACTTTCCACAAGGTAACTCGAAATTCATATTCAGATGTACGGCTTACCATTTGGAGTACGCTGCATTAGTTCTGTCCGGGTGTAGGTGGTCTTGCGGCCTGTGCCCAAGGTAGTTCCCATGCCGGCCTGAGGACCGGCCACTTGTAGCACCTGGGGCAGCCCATCGTTCTCCCGGTCGTTTCGCAGATGACTGAACCGTGCTCGATTCATTGTCATACCTTAGTTCCTCGCCGATTTGATCATCAACCGTTTCTTTTGCCTGTTTTTGTGTTTCGGTTGGATTTTCGCTTTACTTTGTGATTTTAAGGTTCGTTGGTTTTCCCTGCCAACGATCTATCGCTTCTTAAGTGTGCGTGTGTGTCTGTATCTGTGTCTGTGTGTGCGTACGTGTCACTATGTGTATATGGGAAAATCGACTCTGTCCAAAAGAAAAACGTGTTACTGATCGATGAAAAATATTTTTAGTCCGGAGCTCAATTGATATCCATATCGAAACGAATGTATACACACTGTGAAAGCAAAGGCAAATGCTACAGGCTCCTGGTTGACATTTCGTATGTCTCCAAAGGGATGTAGATCTATGCTTTAAGGCAGATCGCCTCTAGCAGAGTTGTGCTCATCGAGTTGTTTACGTTATGGCGTTATGGTAATATAAGCACCCTCATTCAGATGGTTTCCTATGAGCCTTATGAGGCTACATAGATCCCCCGGAGAGCTATTTTCATTGATATTTGTTTTAGTAGATGTAGCTGCTCTACCTTGTAGCTATAGCAGCTCTGCCAGAAGCTCTACCGAGCTTATTTCTTAATATAATTGGAGAGCACGCTGCTGCTTTACCGCATATGATAATCGAGTATGCAGGGAGACATTTTGGACAATGTTATATAAACTTTGTTCTTCCCCAGAGCTAGATCTAGCTCTTTTATCTTCATGCCCCATTTAACAAGCAGTTTAGGGTATTTCTCCATGCTCCATGCTCTATTATTTACTATGTTTTATGTCTACCGTTGATGTCAACGTTAAATCAGAGAGACTCACTACGTTTGGGCAACCAAACGTATCCTAGTCCTGCTCAGATCTATATAAGTTTAGTCCGACTTTTAAGTTAACTCTACCAAGAATATTGTACTAAAACAAGATTGGGGAATTCTCAAAAGTTTCAAGAAATACTTCTATAAATATGTAATGTAGAATTTGGTCAGCTAAAGTCGTTGCCCCCAAATATATCTATAAAATATGCAAATATTCAAAAATGTAAATTTCTGTTATATTCATTCAACACATTTTATGCGCCATGGATATTATCTAGTTGGAAGGCAATCATAGAAGCTATGGTGGAGTTGAGTAGCGCGTTATGCGTAGAGCTTCGCGTTGCAACATCTCGTACTGTTGGTCCAGAAGACTTGAATCGTCACTCGGCGCTAGCGAAAGGCTGGTCTTCCTTGTTGGGCGTGCCGCCCGCTGGGTCCGTTGAGCCGGTTGACTCGGTTCCCTCGGTCGCCGGGCCTCGTAAAGGTTGGAGATGTGACAGCAGTTCGGCTGGGCTCGACCAAACGGATAGATGCTGCTAACGGGCCCCGGCACAAAGACGGGCTGCAATCGATTCGGCTTCTTGTGCGAACGTAGCTCGTTCCAGTGTTGGCGATGCAGTTCCTGCCTCTTGAGATCTTCTGCGAAACGCCTTTCAGGCATGACAAAAAGTCTCAGAGAATAAGGATCTTTTGGGGAATACTAAGAATTTTAAAAATTATACGAATGCCTGAAATTACAAACTCGGCCTGCTCTAAGCAAATCTAGAGGGCAACAAATTGAAGTGAAGTCAAAAGTTCTTCTACTATTGCTGATTTCTCTTATAATTCGCAACTGGTTCAAGTCCAATGCAGAGTAGAGCTCCGGTTACTCTTCTTTGGAATATATTTTGTAGTAGTTTCAAGCAAAGTAAAACTAAAATATATTTAAGAAAATATATTTTTAGACCAAAGTCTTAACTTATATTCCCTCAATTCATTTATAAAATACAAGTTTATCTTAAATATATAAATATATACTATATTTTTATTTTTAAATACAGTGTACATATGCTAGAATCTATTACAGATTTTTTGGTATATTAGAGTATACTTTGTATAGTCTTAAAAAAAATGGAATATGATTTTTTTTTTTTTCTATAATTGTATAATGAGTATATATATTTTCTATAATTGTATAATGAGTGTATATTATGTATATATATTTATATGTATATAATATATTTTTTTAAGTTACACAAAATATACTAAAATATATTTTCGAATTTCTGGTATTTTTATATATAATATTATTTAATAAATATATACTAGGATTAAAAAAATATATATATTATAATAACACATACATATTTATGATTAGTGCTTACATCTATTGCAGTACTTAAGTATATTTAGTGTTTTTACCATACAAAAATTAAGCCTCTATTCATATTTTCATATTTAACGATTCCTCAATCAGTTTCTTCAAGTTCAAGATGAAACTATAATCCTATAAAACCTATAATCATTTTTTTTTTGCACTCTCCTTTGCTCTCCACATTCGTAAACGTTGCAGCGATCAAAAGTGCATTGGTGCTCCGGCCTTCCGTATGCTGCCCGGCATCGACAATTGGTGCGAGATCAATTGCTTGCGCTATCCGCCCAATTGCCCGGAGACTGCCTGCCACTGTCCGTAAGTATAACTCCCTCTCTCTCTCTCGCTCTCCCTCTCTTTCTCAGTACCTCTGCTGATGCGCTCTTTCTCTTTCGTTGCAGGCAAGAGTGCGTGGCCATTGGCGAGCTGGAGGGACGTGAAGGCGCCGATACCTACTGCATGGACGAATGCCTCAATTACAAATCGGAATGCCCGCGCGATAGGTGTCGTTGTTTCTAGAAGGAGAGAGAGAGAGATGGAGAGAGGGAGATACAAACACACACACACACACATAGAAACAGAGACAGAGAGAGAGTGCGAGTGCGAGAGCGAGGTATACCAATTAGCTGTGCTGCTGCCCCATTGCCAGATGAAGAAAAAGTTTTGACGAAATGTAATTGAAATTGATAGATCCATTTGAATGCGAATATATCTAGATATATGTATATCCAGATATCCGTGGACATATATATTAAAGCGATGAATGTGAATGTGAATATCAAGAGTTTTATTGAATTTTTCTATGTATACTATTCCATGTACATCTATCTATTATCCATTTAGAGACGGCCTAGGCTGGTTTTTACTTTTTTTTTTTTGGTTTTTTTTTTGTTTTTTTTTTTGTTTTGTTTTTGCTGATGGGCTCCTTGGTCAGCTGGCGTGTGGCTCACTTGCGCTCTATTCAGTCCTCGTAGAGGAATGGACGCGTGAAGGCCTCCAGCAGATCGCGTTGCTCTCTGAGGCGTCGCAGCTCCGACATGGGATCCGCCGTTGAGATGCGACGCACACGGAACAGCGTGGACACCGTTCCAGCGATTTGACTCCAACGTTCGCTGGCCCGTGATCGCATCACGTTGGCGCACAGATAATGATTGCGTCGCTCCTCCAGTGGCTGGCGGGTGGCGCGAGCATAGTTCGCTGCAGCAGCTCCGGCAGCAGCTGCCGACATGCGGCCGGTTCCGGTTCCAGTAGCGGGTCCAGGTCCGGTTGCGGCTGTACCGGATCCAGTGCCTGGCAATGGTAGACTTTTTGCCGCTAATCCCGGTGCCATTTTGAATGGCTCGCTGCGTATAAGGACCTCGGCCAGCTCCTCGCGAGCATCGTCCTCGGAATCCTCGAGCGGCAGAGCCGCACAGCTGCCGCAACTGACATCGCTAACGTGGGCAAAACTGGACGCAATGCGTCTCAGCGAGGCCGTTGGGGGCGGTGCAGCCGAGGTCGGATGGACAGCGTTCTGAATGGGATTTGACTCGGAGCCGGAGCCATGGGCGCGACTGCGCAATCGGCCCAAATTCATATTGGATAGCTTGTTGCCATAGCTAGTGCGCAGCTCGGCCCGCTGGCGTCGCGCCTCCTCGGAGCCAATTGCCAACTTCTTGCCCAGCGGCATGCTCCTGCTGCTGCTCCTGCTGCTGCTACTATCGCACCTATTCCCTGTTCCCGGGATGCTGCCGCTGCTGCTGCTCCTGCTGCTGCCTCTTTTGCCAAATTTAGTATCAATTGATACGTACCCAAAAACTTTTGCCGAAATGTACGCTGTGAATTTTGATCAGAGACTGCTCAGTTTCAGCTCCATTCCAGCCGCCAGCCACAGCAAATCCAAGGCCAGCCTCGATTGCATGTTGTCCAGCTCCAAGTTCTATCCACCTTTCAAAACAAATGGGAAATGTGTTGTGAGAGTCGAAGTGGATTCAACTTGCCTCAAAGTGAACGTAGAATTAGAAGTAGAAGTAGAAGGAGGAGAAGAAGAAGTAGAAGTAGAAGGAGGAGAAGAAGAAGTAGAAGTAGAAGTAGAAGTAGAAGTAGAAGTAGAAGTAGAAGTAGAAGTA